TCGGTCTGCTCGGCGGCGATCGCCTCCACTTCCGCTTTTGTTGCCGAAGTTTCAACATCAGTGAAACGATGAGTACCGCTATAAATTAAACATGCTAATATCGCTTACATCGCTTCTCAATGACATGTTGTTTACGAGCGCGAATAGATAGATCTCTGTGAAGCTATTAGTCTAATTGCGCCATGATTCTTCCATACGACGAGGATTATTAATCAAATCGGTTGATCGGTAAAAGTCGGAGAAGTACTAGGTAAATGCGTGGGATCCTTGGAACAGAAAACATATGATGACAATACGTAAAAAGCAGTTTCGACGAAAATGTTTGTGAAAATGCTGATTAACATTCACTTCGATGTTTCGCTTTACTCTGTCACCCTTCTCAGTATTTTAAGTCGTTTCATTCTTCATTTTTTTTCTTGACCTCAAATCGATATGCTATTCTTACGTCATCAAACAGGGCATTTATGCCTTAGTCATTTATCAGCGAATATATCGAAATCGTTATGATATCATGTTAATTATTTACTATAATAGGACTTAATATAATTTTTTTTATGAATATATTAGAGTATATGTATAAAGCATATTAATTTCTCTAATTTATATAGAAATTAAGTATAATCAAATAATTATATTCAAAATGTTATCTATAATAGAAAAATGGTATTAAGCGCCCAGAAAATAATCTACAATTGCAGAATGGAACAATAAGAATCACACAGATTGTAAAGAATTAACATTCTAATTCTTAAAATCTAGTGGGTATCATATGATATATGTATGTGTATAATACTGAAATATCTATAAAAATGCAAACACACGAAACATGATTTGATACAGCAGTCACGACGTGTTCTTAATCCATTTGGTAAAATCGAGCAAAAGGTTCCAGTCAGTCAAAGTGCGAGGTCTCACGCGATATTCATGAATCAGTGAGGCAAGTGTTTTGATGTGTGGACATATTAAAATTTCACAAATAATCGCGTTCGAATTTACAATTTTTAAACTAGCAAGGCCAAAAGAAACCAATAATCATTTTATTTAAATACATTATAGCATATATATA